GCCCGAAAACCGGGCTCTCCTCGGCCTCCTCCGCCGGGTCGCTGCCCTCGTCCAGGCCGGGGTAGGGGAGATCCCCGTCGGGGGGTTCTTTGTACTGGGTTTGCCTCTTGTGCTTCATCCGGCGGTTCTGGAACCAGACCTTTACTTGCCGCTCGGTGAGGTCGAGCAGAGCCGCGATCTCCACCCGCCGGGGCCTGCAGAGGTATTTGTTGAAGTGAAATTCCTTCTCCAGCTCCAGCAGCTGAGTGTTGGTGTAAGCGGTGCGGAGCCTCCTGGAGCCGCTCGTGTCTGCCAGCCCCTGGGGGTCTTAAACAGATAGAAAAGGGCGCGTTGCAAAGCGGGGGAGCATGGGCGAGCAGGGGGTCTGGGTCCGTTCCCTCCCTGGTGCGGGCAGGGCAGAGCCGTGCCCCGCACCGACGAGCGGCAGTGGAGGGGGAAGAGCCGCTACAGGAGGAAATAAATGGTTAATTAGACTCTTCTCGCTGTGGAAGAGGGTTGGAAATCACTCTCCAGTCCCCTTGCCCCAAGGAGGAAAAAGGATTTTGCTCCCTGGCCTCTCGTTTTAAACACCTTCCTTCTCCGCCACCTTCGCAGATAAGCGGAATTTCGACCCATTCCTTCCTTCTCTTTTTTTTTTTTCCCCTCCTCCTTTTGGCAGTAGTTCGGGACCGGGCGCTGCGGGGATCTGATTTAATTATTCCTGTATTATCCGGCCGGTGAGCTCTGGTGCCTCCCATTCCTTCCTTCTCTTTTTTTTTTTTTCCCCTCCTCCTTTTGGCAGTAGTTCGGGACCGGGCGCTGCGGGGATCTGATTTAATTATTCCTGTATTATCCGGCCGGTGAGCTCTGGTGTCAGCCCTGCTCCTGCCCGAGCGTTTACCTGAATGGTGCCATTAAAACACTGAAACAGCGAATTGTGCCTCCAACATTTTTGAAATGTCAGCTGGGAACAATTTCTTTTGTCTCCTCCCTCCATGCACACGAGGACATTATTAGGACATCATTGCTGCCAAGCAGGAAAGAGAAAGGTGAAAGATTTAGGGAAAAAAATAGCACATTTTCCTATGAAGTATGTGGCAACACACGTTTCTTGGTTTTATAAAGACATTTATTCACTATATGAAAATAATGTACAATAAATAATTTGCCATTTACTAATAAAGGATTTGAATAAATAGTCTACATCTAAAACTTAAAAAGAGGAAGGAAAATTCCTCTGGTTTTTTTTTTAATTTGATTTTTTCAAGAAATCTAAAATTTTTGTTCTGATTCCTGAGAAAGTCGGTTGAAGGATTCACAAAGGTCTTCTCTCGGGGGCTGACCTCTCTGATGTGCATGAGAACTATCGGGTGCTTTCTTCAAAAATAAATAAGGAAAAAATACCTATAATTAAATACCTGCATTTAGCAAAAATCGGGCTGTTCTTTCGTGTGAATCTTCTAAAATAAATATTGGGAGGGTGATTCGGGTCCCACAGTGTGAGAAGCTTTGAGAGAAAGTGTTCGGGGGGGACGGGATGGGGGGACCGAACGACAAACGGCTTGGGTTTATTTTCGGGGTGCCCCCTGCCCTCTTGCAGCAGACTGGGGGGAGCTGGCCGTGCCTGGGGACCGGGGCTGGTGCGCCGGGAAGGGGCAGAAACGGCGAGGGCGGCGGGGGGCG